GGCTTGATAGCCGGCCAACAACCCGCAAAGTAAAAGAAACAATTTCAAAATCGTGTGATAAATTTTAAATGGTAAATTCATTCGAAATATTTGAAATATTTTCCTCTCAATTAGGAAGTTTTGATCAACATTTCACGTTTTTGCAGGCACCCATTATTTTTGTCATTAAAACAAAAAATTACCTGCAAAATCGTCGGAATTGTGCAACCGAGTGACGTGCCCATCATTGACATTGATATTTTTGTATTAGGTTTTTAATAAATATCCTATGGAACTTTGTATTTTCTTGTTTAAAATTTTTAGTGATTAGATTATTTAGCTACCATGAATATTGAAGCCGAAGTTCACAAACGACGACAAAAAGGAAATGTTATATTAATACCCAAACAACGATATTATTTCCAAAAATGCGCTAAATATTTATTTTTTTAACCATTCCATGAAATGAGAAAAGAAACATGAAAGCTAGCACTAATTATCTTCTTCGGATTTATGGAAATTTAAAACAAAGTATTGATTATTTATATGGAAATTTAAAACAAAGTATTGATTATTTATAAGACCAGAAAACTCGCGAAAAATTATCAAAATAAAGCAATTCTTGATGACAAGGAATTGAATAATAAGCGGTCGATTGTTATGTTAGATTCAGTTGAAAAATTTTTAATGTAATTTTTTCATGTTTAATAAAAAAATTACTTTCATAGTTACTTTTCTTAACCATCCTTCATTTCCATTGTACGTTGATAATTTTAATTTGATTTCGATTAAGCTTCAACATAAATATTTATTCATTTCTTTTTAATTTTAACTACTTAATACTGGTTCCGTAAAAAATTTTGTCGACTATTATTCCATTTGAGGGCCAGAATACTACAGAACTTAAATAAAATATTGGCCTTCGCCAGCTGCTCCGACAACAACTGCTTGTCGATAGCTTTCCACTGTCATCGTGAGCAATAGCGTCTGCATGTGATTATATTGATTTACAACCAGATAAGCCGATATACTTGTTTTTCCTTTTTAGCGCATTTTCTCATATATGGAAAAAATGCACTATTGTGCTCGCCATGTCCGTCCGTCCGTCTGTCCGTGACCTCAAGTTTTCGTCGACGAGAAAATGCGCTCTCTGTCACTCACTGCAGTGTGTACTGAGTTATATATTTTTTTTTGTTTTTCTCTCTTCTTCCTCTTGCCTCACATTTCCTACTACAGACAACAATCCCCCAATTGTGGCCTTTTAATGTGTGTGTCATTAGTGTTTAAAAGAATCCTACATTAGTTTTACCTAGCAAAAAAACCCTAACCTAACCTATTCGAACTTAACACAGCCTAACATATCGACCTAAGCTAACCTGTATTATGTAGCAGCAGCAGCATATCAAACAGTGGAGAATATAAGTATAGCGACCGCTTCGCTGGCTGTAGGCACACAGAGAGTGAGCCATTCTTGCCGAACAAGAGGAAATTAAGCAAATCAGAAGAAGTTAAATTTCCTGTTAATATATATTATTCACTACGTATCATGACTGTTGACGTGTAATTAATTTGTTGAAGCATCGGTTTCGTGTTCTGTTTCAGCGACCCTGTTCCACGCGTACGTCTACCTGACAGCGGCGCCTCTTGTAGGTAGCGCCACTCTACCTGACATGTCAACGACCATCATCTACATCAGCTATTTTCCTGAGTGTGTGTGAATCAAATATTTGTGAAGTATTTAAACACGTAAAATAATGCACCGTTTTTCTGATCATAAATAACTGTACTTAACAAATCATGCAACATCTCCAATAGAAAAGAAAATACGGACGCCACTTGTTACAAAATTAATCAGAAAAGCAGAATATTCTGACACAATAAACAATACGTAACCGACGGATTTCAATTATTTTGGCATCAACTTGGTGTTGAATTTCGAGTTGAGTAATGCCTATATTCAGTTCCTTCTATAGTCTTAACTCCGACCTATGTCTCATAGTCGACACGGATTTAAAATTTCAATACTCATATTATATAAGGAGCCCAACCAGTACCACCGACAAAATTCATTAATCATGGGAACAGATACGTATAATAGTTCATGTTGCATTGTCTCCTCATTGTATCGGGTAACTTTTTTAGTGACTGGTCTCAGAACATATGTAAGTTCAAGCAGCTACTTATATTTTAGCTTTTATTCAAAATTGTGATTAAATTAATTAAAAACAATTGAATATAGAGAAGATGAAACTTCCAAGCAGCTATAGCTACATTAATGATGAAGATACATAGAGCACTCTTATATAAACCCCACTTTCTGGAAACGAAGATAAACGACTGCAACCTCTGCACCAAATTGACGCTGTACCTTACAGACCCCCAGTTATATCCTGACAAAATTTATATTACATGTGACAAATAGAAAGTAATTAGTTGATTCAATGTCTGATCGCACATATGGTCCATATTGACGTTACATTGAACGTCATTTTAGTTAGTTGACTAAGGATTACAAGTAAATGAATTCTACTCGGAAAAAACAAAATTGAATATAATTTACATTTATTTATCGAATTATGCAGGTACGGAAGACCGCTTGGCTTAATTCTTGACATGAAACGTGATAAACGTGAAGGACAGTAATATTTTAGTTTGACGCAATAAAGGGATTTTAAATAAAAGTCAGTTTAATTCAGCACTCTTTTGTTATAATAAGGTGAGGCAGTTACAACAAGAAGATTAATTTCAATGAAAATCCAAAGCTTTTCATCGGCGCTAAAGATCGTAGCAGGCGGCCATATTGAAAAATAATATTGAACGAGAAAGATAATTTCATGAACATACATGAAGCAAGCGTGCAATAATTATGCTTCTGTTGCCGATTGACGAATCGAAGGCTTACAACGAGAGGAACTATTACGAAAGTCTGGTGATGTTTAGTTCAAAATAACAACATATAGATCTGAAAAATACAAACATTTCAATAAAAGTTCTGACAGCACAGAAAACTCCAGACAGAAATTCAGACAGTGTTTTATACATAAGCCATAAAACACTGTACATAACCTATAATTGCAGCTTTGGGCGATAACAGTCGTGTGTAAGCTCTTACTCCTTTCCATGTTTAAAGGATAGTAAAGTCAACTAGAATCGGGAGTAGAGAACATTATGTGATCCGATGACAGTAGGGTTCAAGCTCCGACATTTAAGTCTTTATTCCCATAAACTGCAAGCCGTATATAATCGTCAAATATTACTTTATTAATCGTTATGCTATCTCTCAATAACCCTCGTATCACTACTACTACCGAACCCATCCTCAGGTCATACATATAATTATATAGTGAGGGTTGTGATGGGAAACTCACCCTCTCACAGACCGCCAAGACCGATTGAGTGCGTTGTATAATTAGGGTGCAACACTATGTAAAATAGAAAACGTGATATCCGCCTTCCACCATCGGCAGTTGGCCACGTCACCATCAGTGACGTCACAACGAAGCCATAAATAAGCCGGGTCGCGGAGCAGTCAGATAGCCTGTGTCAGCCTATTAACATGCACCTGCGGTGCTTGCTGACAGCTCCGGTCAATCCTTTGAACCTCCGCACCATCGAACTGTCAATAGTGAACAATTAAGAGTAATGTGGTGTTTCACTCCCTTCCTGCCGTCAGTCTAAGAGTAGGACTATATTCAAGTTCAAGACTTCACTGAACCCTCAGGACTTAATTAAGTACTCAAGGCCATAGGAAGCCTCAGGTCCGGCCACGAAGTGTCAAAGGACCTGACAAAACTGTTCTGCAGGGTGATTCATGGAAACTTCCCGATTTTAAAGCTCAATAAAAAACTAGTAATGATATCGTTGAAATATAAATTTTACTGGAAAAGATATTACTAGAATTTTGTATCATTTTATGTTAAAGATAGCTTCGAACCAGTAACGGCCCCATTGTCAATGCATCAGTTAGTCGATTTTTGAAGTTCCGTTCAATTCGCTGAACCATATTGACGGGTATGTTGGCGATGGTATGGCGTATGTTGTTCTTTAAATGAGGTATAGAGTTCTTGAACAGTCATTGTAAACAAGTGATTTAACTTTCTATACCGCCGTATGTCACTCTCCGGGAACATGACTTTCAACTTAAATTATACGTAAACTATTGAGTATAGCAACCTTGAAGACGTTTGTACGCAACAGAGAATATTTTAAAGTTGTCGTACTTGGCGGCAACCATCAGTGCAAGTCATTTTGCACTCACTAGAACGTATCCTTTTTAGGAAATAGGCTTGTGACAATATTCCTCCGGTTACTTATGTCAGGCGGTAGAAGGTTGAGATGACCTGATAAAAAAGATCCCATGGAGTCAAATAGGGGGATCGCAAAGGCCAAAGAAAGTCAGTTCTGAAGGAGGTGAGTCGTTCTGCAAAATGTTGTCTCGGGTCAATGGAACGGCCATTAGAAAAGTACGTCTCGACAGCAAACGAATGCTGCTAACCTGTCCAATGCATAGTGGCAACTCACCAGGCGGGACACCAACTTCATGACCTTGTATTTCCCGTAAAATACGTTTTTCCCCGCCTTTTTCCTACAACATCTGGCTGCTTGGGGTGAAATACAAAACAGGAAATTTCCGTGAATCTTCCAGCAGCTCATGAACCTGGTCTCCAAACACTGATTCGATAAATCAGGGGAACTCTTACCGTTTTTATTTCCACAATACGAAACACGATTGTATGATGCTAGCACAGTTTGGTCACCGACTCCCACGCCTTCGTTGTAGCCTATGGCGTTTGGTACAACCAGATATTTGACATGAGTACCTTATAAGGGACTCGTACTGCACTGCTAGCATTCCCTCGTCTTAAACGATTATCCAGTCATTTCAAAAAGGTTAATATATGGTGATGCTATTCCCTTAAATAGGTAATAGTGCGGTTTTGCAGTAATATAAGCAAGATTATAATATGGTGAGGCGTTTGCATTGAATAGGTTGTAAGAGGGTGACACAGGTATCTTACACGATAGTGAGGATAATGAACTTTAATATAGTGAGCAGGTGAACCATAAAATGTCATACTATGGTGGTTAAGTTATTTTCTACACTCTGCAGGTTAATAAACGGAAAAGTTGTCTGTAGAATGGACGTGGTAGAATGCGTGAACTATTTCCAACATCAATTAAAGGCTGAAGTTGTCAAGTAAGTCCAATGCCAAAATTGTCACGTGCAAACGTTCCGACTTGCTGTGAAAAAGCGCTGCCAGAGCTAGAGCGCTTCCTATTAAGTAGGCAGGTTCGCTTCAGTGTAGCGTGAAAAAGGTTGACTAGAAGCGTGTCTCTCTAGCAATACAACGTTATTGATAGTAAATTTTTTCCGCTTGTTAATTTATTCTCTAAAATGAGAAAACTCGCATTCAAATAATTATTTCATTGTTTTAAAAATACAAGACTTGTTCAGAGCTTGCTTGTAAGTTTGGACTGGGAAATAAATTACCCATGGAGCACGACAACTGGACTACACTTAGTACTAAAACATATATAAAGGTAAGAAGCCATCAGTTACACCGATAGCACTTGGCTCAAGTACACGTGGGGGTACCATGAGAAAAATTGGGGGTACAGAACTCTGGTACACCAGAATGAACCGCAGCCAGAACCGAGGATAAACGGCTCTGGCACATACGGTGTATCGAGGTCAGAATAGAGGGTGCACAGTTCAGGTTCACGCGGAGGTACCGAGGTCAGACACGAGGATATATAGCTGGTTCGGGTACATACACTAGAGGTACCACAGACAATATCGAGGGTACTTGACTCAGGCACACTCTGGAAACCAGCCGATGAAAATGTCGCTCGTCACTGGCATAGGATCGATCCAAGGTCCAAAAAATGGGGCCGAGTTTTTGAAGTACAGTTCTGGAAATCCAGTGGTCCCTGGAACATAACACGAAGTCAGACCCATAGCCAAAAACATTACCTCGATGAACAGATTTATTAAATTATCAGTAACTGATCTTTTACCTCGTATCGGTCATTCCACAACCTGAATTTCTTGTAGAAACTACTATTTTCTACGATCTTGTTGAAATTACTTGTAGCACGACAGCTGAAACTTCAGCAGTCTGGTCTTATGCCTCGATTTCAGTAGGTCGTTATACCGTCGTTGGTCGTTTATAATCTGCATGTCATACCGTCGCTACCACTCGACGGAACCCGCCGTGCTGAAGGTGCTTTCAGATGTTTTTGATACCCGTCGATCGCGACGAGAATTCCGGCACTGACTTTACTCGACCTGTTGGTCGCATGTAAAAGTATCAACCAAGCCACCTTATTGCATCGTATCGATGTCTGATGTGGCGAGCGTGGCGCAGTAGTGTGCTGGTTTGAGTCGGTCTTTAATTAAGGAACAGACTTCAATGCGTTCAACGAAGGCACTTTTACTTCATCATCGCTTCATCGGTGATCTGCGGCGTACCCCAGGTGTCGGTCCGCGGCCCTGTCCTCTTTATTTTATACATTGTCGAAGTGTTGCGCATAATTTGTTCACTTGTTACGATACCGCATATCATCATATGAATGTTCGCTGATGACACTCAAATTTACGGCTACTGTGCAACGGCGGACTGTGCGTTAATTAGGAAATGTGATATTTTTTTAAAGAGCCTACGACTGTCATAGGCTTTTCGAAAAAGTCCTTGTCTTTTTTGTACCTTTCTCGTGCTTAGAGTCCTTGTTTTTGTGCTTACTTTTTAATTTTTTGTTGGGTCCCTTAGTTCGTAAATATGAATAAATTAAAATTTCAGGAATAATCCAAAAGCATGTCAAGAATATCCATTGACATTAACCCACAAATAGTTTCGTTTGCAATAGCTTTGCAGATTGGCCCGGAGGATTTAGTGCATGACAACAACAATGAACACACTCATAAAGCTTCACTCACCCCTATGTATGATGATCATCGACGTGCAGTTGGCGTTGGAGCAGAGGTCGAAAGCCTCGTAGAAGGGTGCATTCACCATACGAATGTCGTAGTATGCCAAGTTCACGTTCTCGTGCATGATGAACTGGCAGCCTGGTGCACAAAAACATGATAAGAAAACTGAATAAACTTCTTGGACAAGAAGTTCACTTACACACTTGCCTATTCCTCTGATTTATTATTTTTTTGTTTTAAAATATGAGAAAATAAACAACATTACTTCCACACTTGTTTTTGAAACGAGCACGCAGTACCGAAATTACATATAAAGGGACAATTTTAGAATTAAAGTCCATAATGCTTTTATGTATCATTTAACTTCCAGAGATGCAATTGCCTTCTCAAACCAACACAAGATTCTACCTCCTTTCTCCTACCATAAAACGAACTCTATACCACGCCTGTGTCAGATCTTCCCTCAAATACCCTCACACTACTTAGCTCTACAACTTCAATAAAAAATCAACAATCAATATAGTGGGAATAAATACGTCCGAAAACATCGTGCCATCGAAAATGTGGCACGAATTATAACTGCTATTACGGACAGACGAAACACAGCAAGTGAGACTCAAGAGCACAAGAAAAACGGGACCAAAGACCACAGCAAACCAACGACTCCTACCAAGCTTCCGACTTCCATCAGTAGTAGTAGTAGTATAATGGTTTGCTAGCCCTTCAGCTAACAAGCTATTTTACACCGGAGGTCAAAATATAACATCGTAAGCGATGCGGAAGGTTTCAATTATTCAAAATCTAAAATTAATCATCACCCACAAGGGGCGGAAGGTCTCAATTGTCCAGCCCGCTGAAGCTGGCTCGAAAGAAGTAGCGTTAGCATCTCAAAGAGACGAAGTGACAAGGAGGGACAGGTGAAAAGCAACAGAAACNAAGACTTTGAGTCGATATGCTGCACCAATAAACGGAAGACTTTGAGTTGATATGCTGCACCAATAAACGGAAGACTTTGTGTCGATATGCTGCACCAATAAACGGAAGACTTTGTGTCGATATGCTGCATCAATGAACGGAAGACTTTAAGTCGATATGCTGCACCAATAATTTGGGGAACTGAAAGACCGTCCCACAGACTCAATTTTGCGCTGTCGATAGAATAACATAGTTCGCTTTCTGAAGTTAACATAACGTATTCTATTGCTATATACGTAGACAACCCTACATTAAATGAAGTAAGGAGATATTCAATTCCCTCATAAAAAGTTAGAAAGTGAATAGTTCTACTTATTTCACTTACAACACAGCAACTGAACAAACTCACGTTTGCCTTGATCACGCTGGGCCAGCAAGAGTGGAGCACTGGAGCAGAAGTAGCCTGGCATGGAGAAGTTGAGGGCCCACTCAGGATGGTACGGCACCTTGGCTGGGATCATGTAGCGTATGCAAGCTTTGGTGGCAGGGCACGGGCTACTGGCACAGGGATCCTGATGAACAACAATAAATAGATTATACTATATGATGTTCAAAATAACCCGTGGGCATAGTTTCGTCGGTGACAATGGCAGGTGAGATTTAATACATTATTTCAGAAAAATGCCGCATGTCTTTCGTTTTACTTTTGTCTAACGGTTTTTTCTAATTATTCAATCATCGATATCATTCATTACATTGAGATAGGTATTCAAGTCGAACCACTATTCCATCACATTATTTCGCTTCCCGCAATTTTCTTGTGTCCGTACATGCCACGTGTCAGATTTGTTTCAGCAACAATGCTAAAAATAGGTACAGAATTGAGTGAAGCCCAATAACTGATTCGTAGAAAAAATGGTCAAACGCATTAATTTCCGTATGATATCAGTGTGAGTGCTAACAGAGCTGGGGCTTGACCGTGGTTCTTTTTAACTTCCGCTACTAGGTTTGGCCTAATCTCATGAAAGGAAAACGACGAATGTCGGTGCTTCTTAATTGAGAAAACTTGATTACAGATGAAAATTAATCTTGTAGGCAGCGACATCCACAGAGTGAAGAAATTGTACGAAGGATTACTATCATCAAGAAGACGGACTTAACACGGCAGGCCAGATATCGTTCAAGTCAACGCGATCAAGAGTCAAGACTATGACAGAGAACCTATAAGTTCTCTACTAGATATATACTGCCTCTCAAATATTTTTTCTGTGCATACAATTTGAGGAGGGATTTGCCCGTACTGGCCCGTACTGGCGGGATATCAATACCGTACCCTTATAATCAACATGTCAAGCGAGAACTGGACTATGTTCTAATTATCAAGGGTCAAAATTAGGAGCATAATTAGATTAAGACATGTGCGTATAAATTCTTGAAAGTATTATTTAAACCGGCCTCTAAATGACTGTAATGATCCATTTGAAAGAACACAAAGGTCCTTCTTGATTCTGTGATGCTCATGTTCTCCTTCCCGCACTACTAATAATATCTTTTAGGAAAATGGGGGCGCCCGTTGCGGAAGTGAAAACAAAATCTGGACCCGGAACAAAATTTGAATCCATTATAATTGATTGAAGTTATTGTCTTTAAATAATTGAATCTATTAAGGTATATGATTTATATTGGATTGCAGTCATAGGCTTAAGTGCTCTACCAATCAGTGCCCTTAAGTTTCTGTGGTCTAAGTAACTACTGTACTTCACTTATCTTCTCACAACCCGCATAGTGACGCAACTCCGACGTCATCCACTGAGTGAGAGCACAGACCAGTGTAACACGAATAGCTCTTCGCTTAACGAACTTGGCGACCTTCACGATTTTTATAATTTTTTTGCATTTTATCTCATTTTCATACATTAACCCAAAGCAAACACGGCAAAATCCTGAATTAAACTTATTTCATTTCAGATGATTTTTTATGTCCCGCTGTGAATTTTGTTAATCCTAGACAAGGTAAACCAGGCAATTCTAGAACCAATATAGCCGGCCGAGTTTCAGGTACGACGGTGCATTCGTAAAATAATTTTAACTTACTGACTAACATATTGACTTACTTATGTGATAAAGTTTTTAAATAAATAGTGCGTTGATTCTCACCTGGAGTGGAAGGTCAGGCTGTTGAGTGATGAGGTATGTGACCCAACCTGTCGACGCGGTGAGGATGGATGCGGTGTCTCTGAGCTCGCACGAAACTCCTGCACACATTTTTTATTTAGCCATGTTTAAGCCATACGGTAGCCATATTTTAGCCATGTTTTAGTTTATCCTCATACGGTAGCCATACTTTAATCATGATTTAGCCGTGTTTTAACCATGTTTAAGCTATACGTTAGCCATCCTTTAACCATGCGTTAGCCGTGCTTTTGTCGCGCGTAAGCCATACTTTAGCCATGTTTAAGCCATACGGTAGCCATATTTTAGTCATGTTTTAGCCATACAGTAGCCATATTTTAGCCATGTTTTAGTCATACGGTAGCCATATTTTAGCCATGTTTTAGCCATACGGTAGCCATATTTTAGCCATGTTTTAGTAATACGGTAGCCATATTTTAGTCATGTTTTAGTCATACGGTAGCCATATTTTAGCCATGTTTTAGTCATACGGTAGCCATATTTTAGCCATGTTTTAGTCATACGGTAGCCATATTTTAGCCATGTTTAAGTCATACGGTAGCCATATTTTAGCCATGTTCAAGTCATACGGTAGCCATATTTTAGCCATGTTTAAGCCATATGGTAGCCATCCTTTAGCCATGTTTTAGTCATACGATAGCCATCCTTTATCCGTTATTAAGCCGTCTTTTAGCCATGCTCTAGCCGTGCTTTTGCCACACATTAGCCATACTTTAGCCATGATTAAACCGTGTTTTAGCCATGATTTTGCCATGCATTAGCCATGCTTATGCCATGTCTGAGATTACCAATAATGTGGAGAGATCGTCTAAAACTTTCAGGGGGGTCGGCAGGATAAAGCTCTACCCCTCTCACCTTAAACCAATTGTTGCATCAACGAACTCTTTCTCCATAAATAATCTCCATATAGCAGTATAACCAGATATTAGATAGCACATCTCTGTAACAATGCTTCAGTTGAACGTATTTCAATCTGTGACATGTTATTTATTAGATAAATGTCCTTTTCTTGTTTCAGGTAACTTGCGATGGATCTGAAACTATTTTGGATTGCTCGAGCCTTCAATATTCTTCAACACAAATTACTAGAAAGGCTACAGCATGGTTTTACTGACCGAATTAAACGCGTTTGTCTGGTCGCATTTTTGCCATTATATATATTGCGTCTCCAAAAGACAAATGAAACGCTAATTATCATTCAACCGGCAAAGTATCTAATGAAATAACAAGCATTACCTGCTTGTTATTTCATTAACAATTTTATTAACATTTGCTTGTTTAAGCATTAACACTTGGATTACCTGCTGTTCAGAGAAATCTCAGAAAGGTATAGAGAAAGAATCCATTTTAACTCCACGTGTATTTGACCTCTCATGATTGAGGACTCGTTAAGCCCTCGTATTATTCATGAACTAATCTTCCAAATGCTCAGGTTTCTAATGGTTCAATTTATGTCTCAAAAGTGTAACGAAAGTAATCTTAACGTCGTTGAAATATTCAATTGGGAAGCCAAATGTGCCCACGCACGCGAAGAAGGCGCGGCCTGTCATGTTTAATCATACGTCGGTTGGCCTGGATATTTCTACACTCACAAAATTTAATGTATCTTTTGTCCAAACAGTGACACACTATCTGCTCGCTGTACTGATACGCCCTTTGCCGGGATGAAGTGGATCATGATGACCCAAACATGATCAAAATGTGCATCATGATTTAAATAGTGAGTGCGATTATACGCCAGTCTAAACCCCAAAAGCGTTCGCTCGCAATGCCACGTAGGAATGACAAAAATTAGATAGAAACAACGACAGCAATTTGTCACATGGAATTTTTTCAAGTGCTGCGTGTAGAAAATTGTTTGTATAATTTCATTTAAAGTAAGTCTTTCCTATTATGAGAACATTTTCGAATGGTACCTAATAGTATTTATTTTGAAAAATTTCCTGTCAAATAATGTGATACTTGAAGAAGACTAAATGCGCGGCATAAGAGAACTTACTCCAGTTGGAATGTAAATTTTAGTATAATCTTTAGGCAGCCTTAAACTCAACTATAGTCCATACGACCCAAACACCTGCTTGCCTTTAAATTGTTCATATCATTTGTTTTCCGTGCTTCTTTTGAAACTCTAATGAAGAAAAAGCAGACAACGCTGTCGAGGCAATAGGAGGGGGATTTTTTTCATCGTTTAAGAGCCCAGAGAAGAGGTCAGCGATAAGACTGGACTGATCAGGAGGGAGCCTGATGGCTTCGGAACACACAACGTCTGGTCAAGTGTTCAATTGTTAAACTCTGGCTGCCTCCGCTGATTCATGATGAGCCTCTAAGTCTCCTCTACACCTGCCGGTCCGGGATCGGTGACTTCTACGCCCTGTACCCTGAGCCTACTGTCCTACCAACCATCTGAGCTTGTCCTACTGACCATGCACTGTAAGTCCGGCAACTTGAATGCGCAGTTTATTGTCTAGGATGGTGTTTGGGTCTAGGGATCTTTAGCCGCTTCACGGCCTTGACTTACAATAAAGATGAAGAGCCGATGAAATTGATAAAACTGATTTTAGAAAGGATTTAACAGATTTATATATTTGACGAAACGATTAATTTAATAGATTTGTACGCGTGTTAACCATGCCCCGATATTGCACGTCCACAATGATTATCATCATCGTAAGTGCCTAATTGATTAATTTCGTTTGGAAGGTGACGGAAAACTTCAACCTTGACGACATCCACCCTACTATCCATCGGCTGTTTTCATTGAGCGAAAGTTGGCGGGATTTGCGCAGCGTCATAACCGCCCGCGGTTTTTGATTTTCTACACGTGCGGATATATTAAATATAATATATTTGAATGAGACTACATTTCTCATTGTCCCGCCATAAATTTTCGTTATTTTCATGTCTATGCAGGCGTTGTAACAAATTTATATATGTCAGCATTACAATTCTTTCGTGCGTCCACCCATATGTATGATAGAAAATTGAGGGTACGGGAATTAATATTTCTATTTTGAAGTATTTACTAAATGATTTTCAGAAAGTAATATTATTCTTAACTCGAGTATTGGAACACAATGGCTATTAGCACGATAGTTAAATTCAAATTTTGCGATTCTGAAAGTAATCATAAAAGCAATTGTTCTACACAGTTTGGTGTAGCAAGCCCACACTACAATACAGTTTAATACACTTCGACACTCTATAGTGTGGTACAATATTGTGCTTGAAGTGTACAATTGACTCAATTGACACAACACACAACACAATTGACTGTACAATTGAAATTGAGGGAATTGAAGTGTACATTTGCCCACAATTCCCTCAATTTAATTAGTTTTGCGTTAACCATGCGTAACATCAAACCTCTGTGAAGATTTGCTATCTAAATTGAATAACCGTTGCAACGTGAGAGCTTATACCATAAAACCTATTTTATTAAATGCTTATTGCGGTTGACTTTTTAGGATGACTTTTTGGCAGCTCTTTGAAGCGTTTGGCAACTGTGATGATTGCGTTCTCATTATTTGTAGAAATGACCTATAATTGTTAAGACAATTTACAATAAATAAATTAATAAATAAATAATAAATGTTAGACGCCGGTGATTGAATTCAAGGTACTAACATAATTTGAAAGAAAACAATGTCTTATCATTGAGTTTTTCACGGTACGTCACCATTGTAGCTGAAGCCGACGCAGAGCGTGAAGCCGCGGCACAAATCCAGGCAGGCCATCACGCGAGGGACCGTCTGGGTCAGTAGCGTGTTCCCTGTCGCCAACTTTCCTTTTCCTGCAAATTTTGAAATTATAAAATAATGCGTAAATTGAATAACGCTGAACTTGAAATTATGGTACAATACTTGTATTGAAAGATAAACATTAAATAAGAATAATTATCATTCTCTTGCCAAACAATTCTGACGCAAAGTTCAACTAGCCTGCGATTTATTCAGATCCCAAGTGAAACAATTCATCTACTAAGCAAATCGAATTTATCACAAGAATATTTGCATTATGCAGGAATAAACCTATTTCAATGGTGGTATTTTCAAATGCTGAATGTACGATCGAAATTTTGATGATAGAAACCAGTGGAATTCGTACGTAGAACGATTACATACTTTTTGTAACAACCAATATTGTTCCTAGAGTCCCGTGAACTAATAACTATAACACATAAATTTTTTACGCGAAACGCTGTCTTCCACAATAATTGATACACTCATACGCTAGCCGAAAATTTGCATCTAATTTTAATTAAAATAGCAATTGAGGCTGCCGGGCAAAAAATACATATATCGTGAGGCGTTGAAGCACAAACGAGTAGAATGCAAGAAATAACGACTAGATTAACGCACGATACAAATCGCAGTTGCATTGACAACTTAAAAAACATCTCAGTCATCACATGAGATATACAATAAAACATCAGCAAAATATAAAAAAATACATGCCCGCGTTACACGTTTGCAATATAGTGGAAATAGGGCGAAAACGCTCGGTAACATCGCCAACTCAATTATAATTTGGTTACATTTTAGAGTCTGTTTGGCGCCGTCAGAGTCAGCCTCGGGATACGCTGAGGAGTGTGTGGAACGATGATAAAAATCAGTGGCTATTTATAAATAATATTCAACGGCTATTTATAATAATATTCAGCGGCTATGAAATTTTTGTGTTTACGTAGTTCCCAGTGTCAACGGCCGCGTGAAGTACAAAATAGGCTGTAAGTCGGGCTGCCTTATACCCAGCCCGCTTAAGCAATTAAAGTGGAGTTCTAGGAGAGTGGGAACAGCATAATAAAGGATGTCAATGCATGCTAGGATTGTTGCGTTATTGCTCTTAAAGTCAAGTTCAAAGCAGCTCATAAAACTAAAGTATTGGAAAAATGAAAAAAAATTGCTACAACCAATTTTAGAAATTCCCGAAATTTCTCGAATTCATGATTTAGAAAAAGAATCATGAAAGCTGACACGAGTAATGCATGACCTCACACAGCACGTGCTGTGATTCATGATCTCATGATCCCGTTCCATTTACACGTGTAATATAACTCAAGCTAAACCCGGCACGTGTCAAAGGCTTCCATGCTCGTAAAAGCCGGCAGCGAAACTTCGAAAGCTGACATGATGAAAATTTTATAATTTAGTTCACTCTGAATGCTGGATCGATGACCTTACTTTAATCATAGCCAGCAGTAGATTGGTTAGGAGATTTGCTCCGTGCAAGTTGGACTCGTTACTACTGGTTTCGTATACCCAACGTGGCCTCGTTGCGCATGAATTTTCGATTATGAAAAGCTTTGTTAGCGCATTTTCTCATTTATGGAAAAAATTCCCTATTGTGCTCATCATGTCCGTCCGTCTGTCCGTGACTTCTCGTTTTCGCCGATGAGAAAATGCGCTCTCTGTCACTCAATGCAGTGAGTACTGAGTTACATTTTTTGCGATACATTTGCTACTTGAAAGTACCGGATAAATTTTCGCAACATAGAAAAAGATTTCTCTTTTAAAATATGCGTTGCGGGAATTGTTATTTAGCCAATACATGTATCGATGACCAACATACGCAACGTAAATTAAGACTTATTAAATTAAAGGTCCAATCACTTTTACTTGTGGTAACATTCATAAGTTATTTCAAAAGCTACTGCTCAAAATGAATTTAAAGTGACATATTATGAGGAAAAATTTCGTATATGAACCCAA